TATATAAAAAGAATCTCTATATATTGAATTATGTAATGTTTTAAATATGATTATAAATTGTAAAAACTTTTTACTTGAAATGACTCAACGAGCCGAAACGTCGTAATCAAATGTGTAGTCATTAAGTTGACAAAATTTTGAAAATTAGTGTAAAATGGCTGATAATAAATAAACTTGAAAATCCTCTCTCTCTCTCTCTCTCTATATATATATATATATATATATATATATATATATATATATATATATATATATATATATATATATATACATAGAGAGAGAGAGAGAGAGAGAGAGAGAGAGAGAGAGAGAGAGAGAGAGAGAGAGAAAAGCAGAAACGTAAAAGTTTAAAAAACAAGTATAAAGATAAAATGAGACCAGCAATGCCATGACCAAAGAAGAAATACATTTTTTTTATCTTAACAGTTTGGCTATTGAAGGATCGACGATTAATAAAAATACATATCTCTTTAGTTTGAAAACTGCGGGACAGGGCACACATTGGCACAGCTGATGGGGAAGCTTTCCCTGGCCGGCCTGTAAACAGCCTGAGTCAACAGTTAAGTTGCTTCGCTGCCAGCCAGTGCTCTGCTATAGAGTATACAATGTTAGGGGACACTAGCGAGTCCAGAGGGGGTAGAAGACTTTTGAACTGAAGCCTTTCCCTCCCCCCATCAAGTGGAGATTTTTATTTTTTTTTATTGCTTCATATTTGTCTCTGTGAGTTTTCTGAGCTGATAAGTAATAAAAATATGTAGGGGAAATACGTGTACCATAGATCACTTTTTTTAATGATTGTTAAAAGTTCAAAATAGAGTTGTATTTTTCATGCATTGAAGATAGTATCTAAATTTTTAAATTATTTTTTCACTAGATTTTGACCATCCAAAAAAAATTATTTTTATAAATAATAAATGTACTAAGGTACAACTAACATAATTGTACCTTGGACCACCCTATATTGTATCTTGGGCCACTACTTTTATCTTGGATAATATTTCTTGTTAATTGTAATTTTAATTATTATTAGTCTCATCCTTTACATTCTTTTCACCGCAGATATCCCTGTCCATCCTGATACCCTCCTGGCAACATTCGCTGATGATACCGCTATCCTTTCAACCAACTCAGATCCTAAAACAGCGTCATTAAACCTACAAATATAACACCTCTCTCTGATTGAAAACAGATGTAATAAATGGCGCATTAAGGTAAACGAATCCAAATGTAAACACATAACCTTCACTCTTTGTCGTAAATCCTGTCCACCAGTTTATTTCAAAACCATCCTGCTTCCTTTCTCAGATTCAGTCCGGTACCTTGGATTTCTCTTAGACCTACGACTAACCTGGAACCCTCACACTAGACTTAAAAGACAGAAACTAAACCGAAGATACGGCCAACTATACCGACTACTAAACAGAAAATCTAAACTTTCTATTGAAAACATGCTACTAATCTACAAGACAATACTGAAACCTATTTGGACTTAGGGACTACAACGGCAAAATTTTCAAAAATCAAGCGGATCCAATCCTTCCAGTCAAAAGTCCTTCGAACAATAGTCGATGCTCCTTTCTATGTAACCAACAAAACCCTACATCATGACCTCAACATCCCATTTGTCCTAGACCTTATACCAGAAACATTTTCAAAATTTCACCAGAACCTTACGTACCATCCAAATCCTCTTGCACAATCCCTATCAAGCACCACCCGTCCCTATAATCCTCCAAGAAGGGTGAAACGGCAGTGGTCTCGCGACCTTTTGTAGATTGTATATATTGGAGTTCTGGCAATGGCCAGATACTCCAATCAAGACATGAGTGAATGTGGCCAAAGTACTCTCGATCAATCTCCGCTGGCTTTAGTACCAGTGATGCGGTTGAGAAAGTAGCGCAGGGTTCTCCTGGAGTTCTTTCGCCTGATTGTAAATAGTGTATATAGGTGTGTATGTGTTTTTTGCTTAGTTTTAATTTTCTTATTTTTGATTATTATTTTGCTTCTATTTATTTTATATTTTTTGTACATATAGTGTGAATGTTATCCTACCTCACTATAACTAATGTCCAAGAGACAGATTGTTGTAATACTCAATAAATAATTTTTTTTTTAATTATTATTAGATAATAAGTTTCAATAAAATAATTGTGACCATAGCTTATGGTCCTCCATAGGGCTAATAATCGCCTATCTCATAAAAAAACAAGTTGGAGATTGGTGCAATAGGTTACCAACCATCCTTTAGGAATGTTCTTGATGAAGTGGGAATGAATGTGATCGCGTCCGGTTACTGTAAACCACATGGTCAATGGATATCGTCAAGACAACGAAACGATCACGACAGCTAGAAGACTTATGGCGGAAGTCAAAGAATTCAAGAGGCGTAAGAAAAACAAAAAAAAAAAAACTGAAGTAATTGTAAAACTGCATTTAATAATATTTTCAATGATAATATATATTAAAAAAATTACTTGACTCAGTGACATCTCAAAAAAGGAACAAATGATAATCCATCTTGTACTTCAGTCTCATCTAGTTCTTGAAACCATACAAAGGACGAAAATGTCTTTGAAATGCTGTCAGGGTTAACATTTTTGAGACATAATTGTACAAATAAACATTTATTTAGATTACATTTTGATATTTATTTATTGAGTAATATAACACTATTTCACATAGACAAAAATTATAATGAGGTAAGACTACATTACCACTATTTATACAGAAATACAAAATAAACAGAAGTATATCAAAAAGTATTGACAGTAAATACAAGTTCAAATATAAGTAAATTAATAAAAAAAAAATAACCTACATACCTACATACACTATTTGCAATCAGGTGAGAGGACTCCAAGCAAGGCTTGTCCTTCCATAGTTGGAGGGAAAAGCAAGACCCCAGGACATCCCTGAAATATTCTCTCAACCACAATCAATGTCAATGGAGATTAAGCGAGACCTCTTTATCCACATACACTCATGTCTTGAGTGGAGAATCTGGCCATTTCCAGAATTCCAATATATACATACCACAAAAGGTCGCGAGGCCACTGCCGTTTTAACATTCTTAAAGGATTATAGAGATGAATGGTGCTAGATACGGATTGCGCAAGATTTGGATGATACATAAGGTTCTGGTGAAATTCGAGAATTTTTCAGGGATAAGGTCTAGAACAAATAGGAAGTTAATGTCATGTGGGGTTTTATTGGTTACACAGAACGGAACATCGACTATTCTTCAAAAGACTTTGTACTAAAAGAATTGGATGCGTTTGATCTTAAAAAATTTTGTCTTAATCCCACAGCTCTAGTCCGTGGGTTTCATAATTTTCTTGTAGATCAGTAATTTGTTGTCAATTGAAAGTTGAGAGTTTCTAGTCAGGAATGCGTATAGTTGGCCGTATCGTCGGTCAAATTTTTGTCTTTTATCAACTATGCAGGTTCCGCGTTAGTCTTTGGTCTAAGAGAAAGCCAAGATACCGTACTGTGACTTAAAGAGGAAGCTGGGTTTGATTGAAATGGACTGAATCGCTGTGGTAAAGCAATGTACGACATCGTCATCTGCAAGGTCTTCTGTGGTTTTCAGGATTATTCTGAGGTTAATTTTATCGGATAGGTTTACCAGTTAACTGGACCCGATAAAAGACGATGGTGAGGGTTTACGAATAGGAGCCAGAGATCATTTGAATAGTATTTCATTATGATCAGAGGAAAGCTCACCAAGATGGGTAAACGAATGATTGAGGGAATCAAGGATATCAGGATTACAGTCAGGATCACTGGGCCAGTAGGTAGGAGAGTTCGGAGGAAGGATGCTAAAACGTTGGGAATTTAGTGCATACTGCAATGTTCATCAGTTTCTATTTTGCTATAAAATAATGCATTTTCTTTTGTAAGTATATCCATATACAGTGGAGTAAGTATGAGTTTAGTGGCCCTTGGCAGCCATGTCTCAATCCGTCTAAGCTCTTAACTAAAAATTTGAAGAAGAAATAATTTGTAACGTATAATAATAAAGTGTTAGTTATTAATACATATGATTTGATATTGTATTTTATTGTGTTGATGTCGCCGAAACTATGTTAAAAAAACGAATTTGCAACATTAAATATATACATATTTATTACTTTAACATAGTGCCGATGGTGTATTCAAAATACTGTTTAAACCAGTTTGAAACTCTTAGTAGTTCTTGAACTTCCGTTCAATAGAAATCAAACATATAAAGGAAAAATAAAGATACAATTTACTAGGTTTTATAGGCCTTAACCTAACAATTAAGGAGAGGGGTAGTCCAGTGAGAAGAGAAAAAACTCTCCTGTTCCTAACAGCCTATATTCGAATCCGGATAAGGCTGATAATGAATTAATGTATTTCATAAGTCTTGGATTAACCCTGTCGGGAGACCCTTCGAGGCACCCTCAGGCTCTGTAAAGAGGGTTCTCTAAATTAATCAATTGTTTAGAGGGGGCGACTTTATTTGTAACACTGCGCCGGGCGGGGTGATACATGTGCACAGCATCGCGCGTTCCACGGCAAGCCGGATCAAAGATAATTCGTCAAAATAATTACCAATCCCCCGCCCTCATCCCTTGGCCCGGGAAAAATCCATGTAGCCAAAAAGGCATGTGGAAGGGGAGGACCCAAAAAAAAATTAATACCAGTAGATTTTTTATTTATTCAATATAAAGCAGGACATATTAATTACATTATATTATTATATTAATAGAACATACTTATTTAAAGAAAGAAATTTATATAAAACTATTTTATGAACTTAAATTTAATAGGTTACGAAGTTATGTACAATTGATAATATAAAACATAAGTTTGATCACAAAACACCACAAGTTTAGTGTAAAAAGCAATTAGAAAAATTTAAAAACTAAATAATTACAAGCAACAAATTAATCGTAATCAGACTCGACTTGCAGATGACACGAAATGCACACATGTTCAATAACAAGAAGGATTTTGTAATTGTACTTTTTACTTGTTTTTTTAATTAACATATTTTTTAATATGTTTTCGTAATGTGTATGTTGTTTTCATTTTCACACACAAGACATTTTAAAAACTTTAATTCAACCATTAACACCAAGAAAATTTAAAAGTATGATACTTGATGGCGTACGGCGCACGGAGTACGTCACAACAATTTTCCAAGCAATGTGAAAACGTACGTCTTGTAAGTGTCAGGAGCAGGTAAGAAGGTAGCATCAGGACAATAAATGTTAGCTAAACGAATACATGCGATTACCACGACAACTGAATAATTTGTGAGATTTGATAGACTAAAAACTGAGGCTGATGCATTTCGACCGCTGGAAGTTTAATAGAAAAACGTAGCGATTGAGTGTGATAGTTCACCCACCCTTTTTTTTTCTATCTTACCTGGCGTTTTCGGGAATACGGAGTTTTCCCCAGGCTAGGGAAAAGCCGACAAAATGATGCCAGAGTTAAAAAGCCCCTGCACCAGGACTCGAACTAGTAATCGTAATGTTTTACAAACGCGTTAGCTCACTCACCTATTCCGCCTTATCCACCAACCTGCGCAACCGTTGCCATACTTCTTAAGGCCGGGCATACACGTCTCGGTATACTAGTGCGTGTGTGCCCGCCGGTGCAGGCTAAACTGTATAGGCTTAACGACCTGTGAAGGACCGGAGAAGAATCGAAATTTAGTATTTTCTACCTGCGCAAACGTCTCGACATGGAAATGTGCGTAAGTCACTCCGATATACCGATATATATCCGATTTTTAGGTTAATTAGTGCAGTGTTTAATCAAGTCGTCTACGTGTTTGCTCGACATCTCTTGATGTGTAGGCCGGACCGGAGAAGAATCGAAATTTAGTATTTTCTACCTGCGCAAACTTCTCGACATGGAAATGTGTGTAAGTCACTCCGATATACCGATATATATCCAATTTTTAGGTTAATTAGTGCAGTGTTTAATCAAGTCGTCTACGTGTTTGCTCGACATCTCTTGATGTGTAGGCCGGACCGGAGAAGAATCGAAATTTAGTATTTTCTACCTGCGCAAACGTCTCGACATGGTAATGTGTGTAAGTCACTCCGATATACCGATATATATCCGATTTTTAGGTTAATTAGTGCAGTGTTTAATCAAGTCGTCTACGTGTTTGCTCGACATCTCTTGATGTGTATGAGTTCAAATCTTCCGGTTTTCCGTAACTGCACAGGTATAACTTCCCGGTTTACTTGACAAGTATATCTTAAGGTGTGTGCCCGACCAAACAAAGTGCTTAAATCCAGGACCGTCCATGGATTGTAGTGGTACCATTTTTTTTTTCACCTACCAATTAGGTTTGAAAAAAAAACGTATTCTATACATGGCCTTCCATTCAGCCGAGACCTGAGACTTCGAAGCTTTATAGAACCTTCGAATTGAAAGCGTGTTTACATAAAAACATTTATTAGTAATCTCTAGATTGGATCTTAAAAGGAAGGATGACAGCAACGCTGTAAAGTGAGGAAATGTTACTCAGAAGAGTAATAGTCTTCCATTAGTGGAATTGATTTCCAATAGTTGTAGTTGCTGATAGATGTATAAAACTGGATCCTTATCGAGGTTATATAAATTAAATATTCTTTAAACATATATTTTAATCATCATATCTCCGTTACAGAAAAAAATTGAAATCAGTAATCGATATAAGATTGTACATACTGTTTTCAACACAAAGCACTATAAAAACATACAGTGCGGTGGTCTGACAGCGAGTAGGTGCACTAAACTCTAGCAGATAAAAAATCTAGATGTAAATGGATAAAAGATGTGGATATATATTTTTGCCAGCCCCCCCCCCGCGAGGAAGGGTGCACAATAGCCTCCTATCGATTGGCGGAGGCAGGGCGTGGCTCCAGCTACCAGGTTCGCTCATCCCTTCCGCCTCCGGCTCCTCTCCATCTCCTCCACAATATCCGCCTCTTCATCAATCTAATTCCACTGTACAAATTATCTAAGTTGCAAGTCCTGGGGAATGTCCTTCCGTATATTTGAGTGTTTTATTTTAATGAAACTGTATTTAGAATAATAAATCTTATGCAACCACGGTTGCCAAGCGTATAGGAGCTGAACTCCGGCGTGTTTTCGCCTAAAGCCAATGCAAGTTCGATTCCAGTATATGAAGATCCTTTAATACTCAGCCTTTAATATTTTTACACACTATTATTCTAGTTGGAGTACAGAAGGATCTTGAACTTATTATAGACCAATACAAATAATATTTGTACATGTATATAGATACGATTGCATTCATTTCTCTATTGCATAATTACTTAGTTGAAACTCACCACATATATAAAAGTTAGAATTTAAAATATTGTTATCTTCCCTTTTATTATTTTTGGTGCTATACGTGGCTGTATATTTTTAAGGAGAGACATTATTTTTAAATCTTCAGGAACAATATAATGTTAAGAATATTTGGGCAAAGGAAGGATAAGTCCACCGGACGTTAGAAGTTTACACATTGCGAAATCAAAGAGCACTCACTTGGTCGATATCATTGAAGTAAAGGTATCGCACGCTTTGTATCATTATTATTATTTTTTTTTAGAACTTGGTTATTGAGAATCATTACGATCTGTCTCAGAGGACATTTATAATAGTGTTCAGAGATCACATTCACATCCTACGTATACAATACAAATAGATTCAATGCAATAAATACAAATAAATTAAACAGTAAAATAATATGTATGCAATAGATAAGAATAAAATAACTTAAAGATAACCAAATTAAAACAACATCAAAAAATCCACAGACATACCTATATACAATATTTACAATCAGACAGGAAACCCAAAGCCAGGCTTGCCGCTGCAGCTATTGAGGGAAAAGCAGGACTCCAAGAGATCCCTGCGCTACTCCCATAACTGCATCACTGGTGCTAAAGCCAGTGGCTATTGAGCAAGAGCGCTTTAGCCCCATACATTCATGCTTAGAGCGAAGAATCTGGCCATTGCCTGAAATCCAATTTTTAACTCGAAAAGTTCGATCAGAAAGGTAAAGCGGAGGACAAAATAGAAAGACTGAGGCAAATCGGTTTTAAGTTGAAAACGAAGTCAAGCATGCCATACCCGGACAAAAGCTTCAGCTATGTCCAGAAATGCACCCGAGCAATATTGCTTTCTTTCCAGGTCTGCGGAAATATGATCGTATACTCGAACTCCTTGTTGGACTTTTGGAAGAATTTGAGATTCAATAAAGGGTAAGATTCGTTTCATGAGCATCTTTTCAAGATTTTTTGAAAGGATTAGAAATAGGATAATTGGTCTGTAGGTAATTAAGCTTTTGGTAGGCTTTCCTGGTTTTGGAAATAGAATAATAGTGGAATGTTTCTGTAAAAGAGGAAAGTATTTGGTTCTCTGGGGGGAACTCTACTGACCAAAAAACAGCTTTTAAATATACCAGCATACTTTACATACCGTACTGACCATCCTGGCGGTAAAGCACACGCCGGTATAGTTGTCATGGTACGCCTAGCTCTCTCTCATCACCTACTTCCATTACCTACACAAGATTTCATATAATCCAATCCACCGCCTTCGTAATTAAACCTTTTTTCGGACCACTCTTACTTCCATATTATTTCCAGCATATTTCCTTCCTTTCAGATTCATATCCAATATCCAGTTCAATGTTCTTTCTAATTTCTTAGGACATAAACTCATTCTGAGGGCAGACGTAAATGCCAACATCGAGAATGGGGTTCTACAACTACGAATTCTCGTGGTAGAATATTGCTATCTGCACTCAATTAATAACGTTTCAGCCTCCTTCCTCCCAACTCACATACCGACTCCCCCTCCCCTCCTGATCCTAACCTTAATTCTGATATACTAGATTTTTTCATCCACGGTGATTTAGGTCCCTTTAAACATTCCTCCGATTACCGCTTCTGTAACTATAATTTAAAAAAAAATAAAGCTGGAATAACACACATATAGATATCAATTCTTTAAATCCAACATACCCCCCTCCGTGCTAGTGACAATCCACCAATGTTTCATCAACGAACCAATTTTTTTTTTTTTTAGTTGGTTTTACTATTCCTAGTGGTAAATCCGAACAATAGAAATATTTCCTTCTATAATATCTTCTGGATGAAAATTTTTATGAATTTTTATTGGGTTAGCCCACGTTTCGACTCATTAAAAATACCTTGACCGAAATTTCTGAAAATTTTGTTTCATCCATATAATTGATCAGACTATTACCGATGTCTTAAAAAAAAAAAAAAGATTTGGTTTCAAATATGACCTAATTGGATTATTAAATTACATAATTATTTTATGAATTATTTAATGACTATTGTGTTACTTTATGAATGTTACTGTTTTGTTTCAGGAATCTTATTGGAATGGACGCTTGGTTAGGAGGGCTGTGAGAAGAAAGCTTTGGCATTTGGCTTGCTAAAGGTGAGCTCTTATTAACAGGCAAACACCTTGCCTTGCTTAGACAATATTACTTAATTTGCTAGCCCAAATCATTTGAAAAGCATCGCTAGACAAATTTTCAAAAACGTATTTCAAAATCACAACATTCAAAGTCCTATATACATATTAAAAAGTTTTTGTTTTTTCTATGCGGATTGTAGAAAACTTAATTATTCTTATAATTAGCAATTACAATATTCTTGGAAATGAATAGTTTTCAGATTATTTAAAAAACTCATGAAAAGTGAACGGGTTTCTATGAAAACCATCACAGTACCTTTATTTATTATTTTCTGACGCATCTTTGTTGATTCTATCTATCCATCTGCTTTTTGGCCTTCCACATGGTCTTTTTCCTTCTATTGAGAGATGTATATATACAAATACATTTATGAAATATATATATATTAATGTGGCTAATCATCTCTAGAAAGAGATTAATGAATTGATTACCATAAATTAAGGAATGAGAAATGCATACGCAGGTCGTAAATGATATGCAAACACTCATAACATTTCAACAGTAACTTAAAATATTCTTTGAGGAATATTTCATATCTGGACAGAAAACAATGTGCACAAGGAACGATACGTTTTAAAAATCATTTGGAAATCATGAATGAAGGCAATTAAAATTTAATACTGATGGTTTTGGTAAGGATTGAGCAGGGTTTTACGCCTTTAAACAACAACAAACAACCTGTTGGTTTGGACTTAAATAATTTATTCAATATATGTTGGGATCGGATTTAGTAATAATATAGTAGTATGGTACAAATTAAATGACTTATGGATAATTAAATGCAGGAATAGATATCTAAGCCTAGATAATTAAATAGTTTGTATTTAAATATTATCAGAGGAACTAAAAATAATTATTACTTTTAACCTCAATTAATTGATTGAACTGTAACTTTTCTTGGTAATATATTAATATTTGATATCATCAATGAGAAAGGATTATCAATTATAATTCAAATTTCGACGGGCGTCGTTACTACCCTGTTTATGGAAAGTCATTCAAGCAATTCCTTCTTTTCTACAGGAAATTGGGCAAGTGTTTATATAAACTTTTTCTGTAGATCTTAATGTATACTATATATTATTCTTAGGGTATCTTTCAAGTCCGTAATGTACATATCATCTGCACATATTTTTCAAATGAAATCTGTGGAAAATATTATTCCTTCTTACTTTCATCTTCATGAAGGGGGTAACAGGAAAGGAAACACATCAGCATGTTCTTTAATCTCAGATAAAAGACGTTGAATGAATGGCACGGTAGGAACGACGCCCGTTTGAACTTTGAGTTAATAGTAATAATTATAATTACTCCCTCTGATAATATTTAAATGCAAACTTTTCAATTATCTAGACAAGAGTATCATATCATTGTAGAAAGCATTTCATTATCCTAAATTCATTTAATTTGTACCATAATAATATATTATTACCAAATCCGATATATAATGAATGAATTATTAAGTTCAAACAACACTTTGTTATTGTTCAAAGGCATATAACCTTAAGGTCATCAACGTCTGCTCAAACCGTACCAAAACCAACAGTTTTAATTTAAATTGTCTTCAATCATAATTCTCAAATGACTTTTAAAATATATCGTTGCACATTGTTTTCTGTCTAGATATGAAATCTCCCTCGAAGAATATTTTGAATTAATATTAAAATGTTATGAGCGTTTGCATGTCATTTACGACCTGCTTGTGCATTTCTCATTCCTTCATTTATGGTAATCAATTCATTAATCTCTTTATAGAAATGACTAGCCCCATTAATTTATATATATATATATATATATATATATACATATATATATATATATATATATATATATATATATATATATATATATATATATATATTTCATGAATGTATTTTTATTTATATTTATTATTCTACTCACAATTTTAATCTATAAGTTACACAAAGTAGAATACGGAAATCCCACTGTTTATGCCAGCCAATGTAAAGTTGGAATCTTGCAATAGACACATAAAATATAGTCAATTATTTTAACGAAGAAGAACTTGAGGATGCCATTGTATACTTCACTCGCAATATTCAAGAAACAGTAGTCTTCGTCAGTAGCAAAACAGCAAAAATATGAGTTGCTACCAATGTATCCTCATTACATATGGAATTTGATCAGAGAGGAGAGGAGAGCTCGCAAAATATGGCAGAATGGCAGACTCTAATCAGATATACGAACTTCAGACTTAATAAATCTGATTGAAAAATTCAAACGAACAACATATGACAGCTGCATTAGAAATCTCTCAACCGATGATGGAAGCTTGTGGAGATATATCGAAAACCTAATTAAATGACAGCACCCCTTCGAAGAGAAGATGATTCCTGGGCAGTGACTGGAACTCTTAACCTTCCTTCTGTTTTTATACCACACACAGACTCCATAAATACTGAACACGATAACAATGTACTAAACACTTTAGACGTGCCCCCACAGCTAACTTAACCTCCTATTTCCTTCCCAGATTGCTGAACAAATCAAAAAGTTACCTAAAAGAAAACCTCCCGGACATGACTTGAATAACGCTGCAGTGCTCCAGCAAATGCCTAGGAAAGTTCTGGTGCTTTTGACAACTATTTATAATGCAATACTGAGGACAACTAAATTTCCACCTCAATGGAAATGCCCACATATAAAAACGGAAATGCCACACAAAAGAGATTATTTCTATCCTGTGCGGATAGTGTCCATGTCTGGGAGGCGTATGTTAGGACAGGCCTGATCAGTGTTTTATATAAATTGACCTTTATTTTCCTGCTAATGAGGTTGCTCCGGAGCTGTTTCAACAGACCAATTCCATGCCTGCAGCAGCTCTCTGTAAGTTAAGAAATACTCAGTTAGCACAGTACAGGATCGCGCCACTATATCAAGGTCATCCACATAACAGGGCAGTTGGACCGATCTATTGAATATAGTACCATTATTCTGGATACCTCTGTTTCTCTCATTACTTTTTCCAACAGCAAATTAAACAGGAGGCATGCCAAAGCATCTCCTTGTCTTAATCCTTTGTTTGAGCCAAATTCAGAAGAGTGTTCGGAATGTATGCGGACTCTGCATCTAACGTCTCTTATTGTCATTTTTATAAGGCGTATTAGCTTTGAAGGAAACTTCATTTATCTTTGTGCCTCGTATAACATAGGACGCTTGATATTGTCACACACGTTCCTGAAATCCACGAAAAAGTGGAGGGTAAACATCTTGTGTTCATGGTCCCTTTCCATGATTATTCGAAGTGTATGAATTTGGCCCACTGTAGATTTCCCTCTCCTGAATCCAGTCTGGTACTGTCCGATTTCTCGTTCTGCAAGTGGGGTCAGTCTTTGGTAGAGGATATTGGAGAAGATTTTAAGAAGTAAGCACAGGGGAGCAGCGATATACCTGG